CATAAGACTTTGATCGGTTTCCAGCATATCTTAATGCTCAAGTTTCTGCAAACTCATCTTTCCACTTCCTAATCACTTTCTTATTTTTTAGCTCACGTGAACCATCGGGAAGACATACCCATTGATCTGGAGGAAGTTTTTCAAGTAATGGGTGGTCTTCAGGATAATCACTGAAATCATAGGGCTTCGCATCTTCAATCATGTCGGCATAGATGTCCTTAGTCTCAATTTTGATAATTAGTAAGTCTGTATCGGTATAACATAATTTTATAATCTTCATACTTATGCTTGATATGATTATACCAGAAATCATACATGTAATATTTATTAAGATCTAAAACTGAAGCCCTGATATAGATTGGCTTGTTAAGTACAATATTCGTTAGCTTCTGATAGACTGCTATAAGATTATTTCCATGAAATATTTTATGTCCAACTAGTGCCGGGTCTGCCAATATTTTACAAAGTCGATACTCCTCTTCTATTGGTCATACTAAATCTACTCGTGTGCGATGCCAAACATCCTCCATAGTTTTTCTGAATACTGCATTGTTCATTAATTTCCATAGATCTCTTTCAAATGCATTTTTTGCATCACAATGCCATATAGTATTTGCTGTAATATATGGTTCGAGCCAGAGAGATTGATCAAACTCTAATATATGGTATACATCCTCAAGTTCTATCTCTAGTTCAAGACACTGTTGGAGATTTCGGTAATAAATAATATAGTGATCTTTAGTCTCTAAAGTTGCTACCAATTTTTCTGTTTCCACAAATTTTCTACTGCTCAGTTTATCAATTAAGTCATTATTTTGGTATGGACTAAGCTCACTTCGCTTAACTACCCGACGTTCTGGGCAGAGCGGATAGTCACTATATGTTGGGTGAAGATTTTTCAGATATCTTAATTTTACTTCCCAAGCACTGCCTCATTTTGCAGTTGGTGAAATAAACCGTATATCGGGCAAGTTGTTTATGTCAAGTCATCTAAATCCTCCTGTTGGCAAATATTGAGACATAGCCTATTTATATAAATTATTAGCATCTAGATAAAGAAGCCATTTGTTGGCTTTTCACTTATCATAACCTTTCATTCCCAAAAAATTGGCTTTTGCTATACGACATGGCGCCATAGAATTTCCATCTCGCATCTAACGTTAAATGAACTCATGCATATCCTCCTGCCCCTTATAGATTAATTCAAGCTTGACCTTAGTCATCTTTTTTGCCATATCAAATATGAATGATGGTAATGTTATATAGTTCAAAGGATCTAGTCCGGATACTTCCTTCATTGTTATTCGAAAATGCTGAATTGAGTCTGCTAATATTAAAACATTGGTTCTGAGGTATAAATCATGATAGTCCCCGAATGTTTCATACTTTGCTTCCTCCCATACTTTTTGCGCATGGTCATATTGCTTTTGACTAATAGTGTAAATTTTTTTGTGCTCACAATCGTCGACCTCTTTTAAATCCTCTTCTTTATATTTTCTATTGCACTTTTTACTCTTTATTTCATGTTTGCACTTTTTACACCTATTCCTGCAATAATTTAGTCTGTCTAGTACTGTATTAAATTCTTCTCTTGATGGGAGCTTTGTTTTTGTGAAGTGCTCAGGATCATTCCATTCGTATGAGTACTCACTTTTTTGTGTAAATAATAGAAGCAAATGCTGAAGAATACTTTGTGCCATAATTGAAAAACATTTAGCCAATTGCTCTGAGGTCTTTTCTTGACCACGCAAATTACTTGCTACTTTTTCTAATAACGAAAATTGAAATTGACAGGAGTCTATAAATTTTATCTGGCCAATTATTATTGTCTTATAGTTCTCCTGGTTGTCCGCAATTATTTCAATTTTGTCTTCACTAATTAGGCCTAATTCCTGTATTTTATGATGGAAGTCATAATGCTTCCCACCATGATATATTAATGGGATCTTAATTTCATCTGGCTTAATACGGAGTTGAAGATTACAGCCACAGTGTGCTGGACCATGATATTTTCCAGTAAAATGATCATGATCTCTAACCTTGTTTTTATTTATATC